CCAGGCTCAAGGTTGACTCAGCCCTCCATCCTTCTGAGGTGGGTAAAATGAGGACCCAGATTGTTGGGGGAAAATAGGCTGACTCTGTAAACTGCTTAGAGAGGACTAGAAAGCACTATCAAGCTGTATATAATAAGTCTTAATAGCTATTGCTACGATGATGTTGCTAATTCAGTCTGGAATTTTGCTCTTAATGCTATTTATTAAATTTCTACACCGCTCATCTTACCTCAGTGACTCTGGACAGTTGTACAACAACAGCATAATAAAAACCATATACCAGTAAATACCCAAATCAAAGCAGAGCTGAAACACAAAGGTAAAACAAGTTAAAATTTACCAGTAAAAATAAATCGGGTTAAAATTCAAAGGCTAGGAGGTTAACCAGGCGCTTCTAGTCTTTTAACAGCGTGGATTGATATTTGTGTTATGCAGATGGTCTATCCTTCATCTCCTTCAATGAGTTTTGAAGTCCGAGACGCTGAAACTTTTTCAGGAGTTCTCATTAACAAAAAACCCAATTTGCCAATGTAGCAATAATGCTGGAGAGCTGAACAAGTAAAACGTCTTGCCATCCAAAATTGGCCGTTTGCCTCCAGATTTTGAAAGTGCAGTCTTGCAGAGCTCAAGGGACCAGAAATGCCAACCCACGGCTGCCTGTGTCCTCAGTATGGGATGAGACAAAAGTCCCAATTTGATATAAACCAAGTATGGCTAAATTGTGCTCCAGAATTTTTTGCAGTACACAGAAAGATAGCCAAGATGCGAACGATTTCCCAGAATTTTTTTTTTTAAAAAACCATTTTAATTGAGAATATAAGATAATTCAGTTTATCCTCTTTTTCTTTCCACTCTCTTTGGCAGGTTCAATTTTATTTACAACTGAATTTCCTGAAGTGTGAGTAGAAGCCGTCTCTGTGAGAACAGCTTTAAAATGTAGAAGAGAAAATGTGACGCAAGGATTTTTTTTATGTCTTTCTCCTTTGAATTTCCCCCCCCCTCTCCAACTTTCTACTATCTGAATAGCAAAGAGAATCTTGACTGTTTAGACAATGGAATAAGAACTGTAATTGCATTTTAATCACTTACGTTGTGATAGTCACCTGATTTTTTTTAAATAACATTAAACAAAAATGGACTCAGTTGTGCGTTCATGTGTGGCTCTTTTTCATTACTTTCGTAAGAGATTTTTATCCATTGGCTGATTGGTGCCATAGTATTCTGTGGGAGCGGGGCTTAACGGAGGTGGGCTTCAGTGTTTTAACCATATCTTGGGAAATTAAAAAAAAAAAACTTTGAGAGCCGATGATAAGTGGATATCGCTTGAGGATTTTTGGAGAAATTGCACGGCTGAAATTTGAGGTAGTTTTTCACCAGCAGATTGGCGTTTGTAGTTTTGTCTAGAAAAGGTGGCAAAAAGGTGGTTTGGTTTAGTGGTTAAGGCATCAAGGTAGAAACTAGGAGTCTGTGAGTTCTAGTCCTGCCTGAATGACCTTGGGCCAGTTTCACTCAGTCAACTTTAGGAAGGAGGCAATGGCAAACCACTTCTGAAAAAAAAAATTGCCAAGAAAACTGCAGGGACTAATCTGGGTACTTACTAGGAGACAAAAAGGGAGAGAGGAAGACCAAGGTTGTAATTTTAATTGTTTTGGGAACTTTTTAAACTTCAATAAAAGTTAAATAAAGTTACATTTCTAAGCCACCCAGAGTCACTTTATTAGTAAGATGTGACAATTGAAGGAGGGAGGGAGGGAGGAAGGAAGGAAGGAAGGAAGGAAGGGGTGTCCCATTGCATCTAACATACTCAGCTCTTGCCATGCCATTTTTCTTTCTACATTTCATAGAACTGAAGAGGAAGCTAAAGAAGTAAACTACGCATACAGGACTACTCATACCGAGGAAGTCACCGCTCAGTTTCAAAATGTGTCATGCCTCTTATCATCTGAGGCCAGAAAATTCATTTCTGCAAGGCTTCTTTGCAAAAATGCTGATTTCTGGCTCGCATATTGTTGCTGCATTGCAGACAAGTAATTTTCACATTTAATATTTGTACTCAATGTTGATGAATAGCTTACCCAGTTTGGTTTCCAGGGGCCGTGCAATTTTGTTGTTTTAAGGCTTCTATTTTACTGCCAGAATAAGTATGTCTAAATAATGGGGATTCCCTTTCATGTTTAAATTGTGTTTTGGTTTATTACCCTGTTTCTCCAACAATACGGCCTCCCCCAATAGGAAGTCCCAGCATGTTTTATAGGCATGAAATGAAATTAGGCCCCTCCCCCCAAATTAAGGCCTATATTAAAACATGCGAAATGGGGGGGAAATGGCGGGAGGGGGGCTTGCCGTTAGGAAGTACTTTGGTTGCACACCCGGATATGGTGCTGCCTGCGTTGACCCCGATACGAAGTGCCCCACCAACGCCGAGGTCAACATCCAAGCCATCGCCGCCCGCCTGCCCAACGATGCAAGGGGGGGGGGGGAATTAAGTCACCCCTGAAAAGATGGCCTAGCCGTTTTTTCGGGGCTCAAAATAAAATAAGACCCGGCCTTATTATGAGAAACACGATATTATGCTGCTAGAGGTTGTCCTCAACTTACGACAGCAATTGAGCCCAAAATTTGTGTTGCCAAGTGTGAAATTTGTGAAGTGAGTTTTGCCCCATTTTACAACTTTTCTTGCCACATTTGTTAAGTGAATCACCGCAGTTGTTAAATTAGTAACACGGTTGTTAAGGGAATCTGGCTTCCCCATGGACTTTGCTTGTCAGAAGGTTGCAAAAGGGGATCCCATAACCCCAGGACTCTGCAACCGTCATAAATGTGAGTCAGTTGGCAAGCATCCAAATGTAAATCACGTGGCCATGGGGCTACTGCAATAGTCAGACAGTAGGCATGAAAAATGCTCAAAAGTCACTTTTTTCAGTGCCATTGTAACTTTGATCACTAAGTAAACTGTTGTAAGTCGAGGACTATGTGTGTGTGTGTGTGTGTGTGTGTGTGTGTGTCTAAGTCGAGGACTGTGTGTGTGTGTGTGTGTGTATATGTATACATAGACATACATACATCATACATATATATATACATCATACATCCATACATACATATGTATAAAACTTTCATTCTGACTCCTTGAAAATGACAGACAAGACAAGACACACACAGTTAGGATGAATAAATATATGATAGACGTGATAGAAATAGATAGATAGATAGATAGATAGATAGATAAGACACACAGGATGAACAGATGATAGAGATCGATAGATAAGACAGGATGAATAGATAGATGATATAGATAAGACAGGATGAATAAATAGATGATAGAGATAGATGATAGAAATATAGATAAGACAGTTAGGATGAATAGATAGGTAATATAGATATAATAGGTAGGTAGGCAGGTAGATAGTGAGATAGATACACTGATACAAAGATATGCATAGATATGAATATACATGAGAACAAATTCAGTTCCTGAACTGTCAGTCTAGCCAGAAATGGAGGTTGTCATCTTAAAAAACAAACACTTGGCCGTTGGCAGCTGCTGTAAAGGGTGCTTTCATTTCACAGCACTTCAAAGCAATATCAGGCCGAGGCAGGTTGACCTTTTTACAGGACCACAGCAGCACCTGACAGCTAAGGTGTTGTGTGACTTGAAGGACCAAAGTCTACTGGCCACATGGAGCAGCGAGCGACGTTTGGTAGCCTGAACGAAGGGCTTAAAAGGATGAATCATCCGGGCAGGATGTGTCTCTTTAAAGGCAGGGCTCTCAACTGCCTGGGAGGGAAGCATTTTGGTTACGTGTTTATAATCACAAGGAGTTCAAGGCTGCTCAGAGAACCCTCCTTCTACTGCAGGGGCTGGGGAATGGCAACTTTAAGACTTGGTGGACTTCAACTCCCAGAATTCCTCCTCCAGTCATGTTAGCTCAGGGATTCTGGGAGTGGAAGTCCACAAGTCTTAAAACTTGCCAAGTTTGGAGACCTGCTCTACTGTTATTATCTCACAATAATCTTGCTAGGTAGGCCCCTCCCAATTTCCTGTCCTCCCCCCCCCTCCCCAATCTCTGAAATCCCCCACTTAATTTTTTTTTTAAAAATGTAGTGGGATTTTTTTTTAATAACCAGAGCAAAGATAATACAAAAAGAAACGATAAAGGGAATAAAAGATGTACAGAAAGGAGGGGAAAAAAAGATAAGAGAGAAAAAACACATGCAGGCAATCTTCGATTTACAACCCATTCATTTAGTGACCAAAGTGACAACAGCACTGAAAAAAAAAGTGCCTTAGGGCCATTTTTTACACTTATGCTTTTACTGCAGCATCCCCACAAATTCTGACACTTGACAACTGACTCATATTTATGACCCAGAGTCCAGTAAGTCACGGTTTCCTCTTTTGTGACCTTCTGACAAAAAAAGTCGAATGGGGAAGCCTGGTTCACTTTACAGCCATAGGACCACTGCAGCAATACCCTTGACCAGAGGTCGTAAAACGGAGTCTTAAAGGGGCCAAGTTCGGAGGCCTCTGGTTATGGGGACTCCTTGCTTGAGCAGGGGGCTGGACTAGAAGACCTCCAAAGGACCCCCCTTCCAGCTCGATTAATACTCTCCACAACCAACCTCCAGGGGGCAATAGGGAGGGCGACCCTCCACACACCCACCCCGGCCCGTTTTGCCCCCCCGACCCATTTAACCCCCACCCACCCACAACTTCATCCACCTTGTCTCCCCCACCCCCCAAAGGACGCAGACCTTTCCCTTCCCGCCCCGGCAGCTCCTCGGGCCCGGCGAGAACGGAGGGGCGGGCGGGGGAAACGAGTCACCCAGCCCCGCCCCCGGTCCGGCCAAGCCGAGCGGAGCATTCGCCGCTGCCGCCGCCGCCGCCGCCGCGTCGTCTGTTCCTGCGGGGCTCCCGGGCCGAGCCGCCGCCGCCTCCGCCTTCTTCCCTTGCCCGGTCCGGCTGAGGGAGGCCCGCCCGCGGGCAGGTAGCCAGCCCGGCTCCTCCTCCTCCTTCTCCTCCTCCTCCTCCTTCTCCACCTCTGCCTCCAAGCCAGGCAGGCAGGCAGGCAGGCAGCGCAGCCCCTCTCGGCCCTGCCTTGCTCCGGTGCGGCCGGCGGGCGGGCGGGCGGGCGAGCGAGGCCGCGGTTGCCGGGAGACCCTCCTCCTCCTCCTCCTCCTCCGCGCAGCGTCCCCCGGTCCCTTCCCCGCCATGCCGCTGCTCTTCCTGGAGCGCTTCCCGTGGCCCAGCCTGCGCGTCTACGCGGCGCTCAGCGCCCTGGCCCTGCTGGGCTGCCTGCTCAGCGCCTACAGCGCCCTCCGCCAGGCCGGGACCCCCGGGACGGAGCCCGGCCCGCCGCCCGACGGGGGAGCGCCGGCCCTCGAACCGCCGCCGCCGCTGCAGTTGCCGCCGGGCCACGGCCCCGCCGCGCTGGACCTCGCCTACTACCTGCTCTCCGACGGCCTCTGCGTCTGGGTGAGCCCCCTCCGGGGTCGGGTGGGGAATGGGGAGGTGGGTGGACCCCGGGGCCCATGATCCCCAGCTGGCGACCGGGGCGGGGGGGGGCGGCGGGAGTGAGACAGAGGGACCTAGTGGGATGGGCTCCAGGTTCCATTATCCCCAGTGCGGGGGGGGGGAGAGTGATAGAGGAACTTAGGGGGATGGACTCTGGGTCCCATTATCTCCAGCTGGTGGGGGAAGGTGAAGTTAGAGGAGCCTAGGGAGATGGACTCTGGGTCCCATAAGCCTCAGCTGGCGGGAGGGGGCAGAGATAGCGGAGCCTGGGGTGGATGGACACTTAGTCCCATTATCCCCAGCTGGCAGGGATGAAGTTAGAGGAGCCTAGGGAGATGGACTCCGGGTCCCATAAGCCTCAGATGGTGGGGGCGGGGAGGGGCAGAGATAGCGGAGCCTGGGGTGGATGGATACTTAGTCCCATTATCCCCAGCTGGCAGGGATGAAGGTAGAGGAACCTAGGGGGACGGACTCCGGGTCCCATTATTCTTGGGTGGCAGGAGGGGGAGGTAGAGGAACCTAGAAGGAGGGACTTTGGGTCCCATTATCCCCATCTGGTGTGTGTGAGCATGAAGGTAGAGGAACCTAGGGAGATGGACTCCAGGTCCCATTATCCACCCCGGACAGGGAGGGTACTCCTTCTGGGGATTGCCCTGCCCTCCTAGCACGACCTGGCGCTCCCGGTGAATCTTGAATGGAGTCTGATTCCCATGGTCCCCAGCTGGGAAGACTGGGGGATAGGAGGGCAGACTTGAGAGCCCAGAAGTGGACTCTGAATGCCATGTTCCCCAGTTAGCAGGGGCGGGGGGGGGGGGGAGGCATGGAAAAGATGGTCTTTCACGCTGTCACCTTGACAGGTGCCTAGGGACTCCAGGTCCCATGATCCCCAGCTGGACAATAAGAGGGGTGATTCAAGAGCCTCTGACTCCCAGGTTGCCTAGCTGCTAGGAGTGGCCGATGGGAGGGGATGGTTCATCGACTCTCTGCCCCCCCTGCATGGAGGCGTCCCACTTCCAGTTTATTCTACACTGCTCGGGAAGATGGGCATTGTAGTCTCATTCTTAGCCTATTTGGATGGCAGAAAAGGCTGCTGAAGGATGTTCATGGGTGGGATTGAGGGACCGGCCTTCGCCGGATGTGTTGGCCAACAGCATTTGGAGAGCTCCATGCTGCTCTGCTCTCCAGAGTTTTGAGGAGTTGTAGTAAAAGGATTTGATGGGCCCACCTAGGTGTAAGAGGACCCATGTCTACTCTTCTTTGCCAGGGCTCTCCAACCTTGGCAACTTTAAGACTTGTGGACTTCAACTCTTTGCTTTGCTGGCTGAGGAATTCTGGGACTTGAAGTCCACAAGTCTTAAAGTTGCCAAGGTTGGAGACCCCGGTCTATACGACCATCACAAACCAGGTGATGACAGCTGTGGATCCAGTCCCATTTGGAGAACCCCAATACATGCGGCCATCATGGGCGGGGAGGATGGTACCTGTCTCCTAGCCACAATGGCCCATAGCCCAATGGTGGGGCCATTGTGTCAGTCAGGAAGTACAATGCTAACCGAGGGAGGAGATGTGAGGTGGTAGGACCGCTCATTAAATTGAACCTTAAATATCAGAGAAGATGTTTTTCAGGGGGGGGGTGTCTATGTGGCATGATAAAATTATGGAAGATTATGAGGGTCCAGCCTCTTAGCCACTGAGCCACCACGTCCCAATTGCTGCCTCTCAACAGGTGGCTTTAAAAAGACCTCGATGAGTTCTGTGTAATCTAGAAGTGCTAGAGAGAAGAGAGAAAGAAGCATGTCTTCTTCGGTGTGTTAAGCCCTAAAGTCTTAAAATGTAAGGGTTGGAAGGGGTTGGCGAAGAAAATCTAGCCCACCCCGTTGTGCATGGTGCCAAGGGTCACAACTGCAGTGGTTGGAAGCAAGCGGCAACCTTTTTCCCGTTGCGGTCGTTTACTTTTTCCACCTTGAACGTATAGGCTTTAATTCACACAGGAGGCTAAACCTAAAGGCAGGTTAACTTCAACTTCAACTTGATTTATTTATATAACACGGTTATTCATTCATAGCCAGCTAGTCCTCCATTTACACAACGGGAATCAGAATTCCCACCCTTAAGCAAGGGGCTGGTTCAATGAGTCACACTCAGTTGTACAACTTTTTTTGTTGTTGCCATGGTTGTTAAGAGCAGTGGTTGCCAACTGGTGGGCCGCGGAGCACGGGTGAGCCGTGAAAAATACTTTGGTGATCTGCAGAGAAATGTCCCCCCAAAGCAATTAATCCAGGCTGCGCATGAACACAAGGCTGCACCGCCCACGTGGCCCGCCCACCCACTGGCCCCCACCCTTCAGCCGAGCGCAAACCTTACCTTGAGTAGAGCCACGTGAGCTGGAACTGAAGGTAAGACCAACAGCGGGGGAGGGAAATCCGTCCTGGGGTGGCTTGCTGACGTTGGGAAAGTCGGTCCCGTATCCCAGAGCTGCAGTGGTCACAGGACTGGCCCATGGCAGGTTGGTGCACCTGGGGGGAGGAGCAGCTGCTCTGGGATGACCAAAGGGCGAGTCTGTGACTCCTGCAGCTTTGGAATACGGGACCGACTTTCCCACCAACATCAGCAAGCCACCTGTCAGTCAAAATTCATATTAGTGATCCGCGGGATTTAAAATTATAAGTTTGGTGGTCCTTGAAGTCCAAAAGGTTGGCGACCCCTCGTTAGGAGGATCGTTTTAGTTGTTAAGTGAACCACATCACGGTTGTTAAGTGAATCCGGCTTCCCCAAATTGAAAACCGGCCGGGAAGATTGCAAATAGTGATCATATGACCTCCAGGATGTGGCAACCATCAAAAAAAAAAAAAAAAGCCAGTTGTGCCAAGTGCCCAAATTTTGATCATGTGACTGTGGGAATCCCGTGACAGTTGTAATTGTGAGACTGGTTGTAAGTTGCTTTTTTTTCCCAGTGCCGTTGTAACTCCGAATGGTCACTAAGCAAACAGCTTTAAGTTGAGAACTTCTGTACCTGAGCTTGTCCTCGACGTACGGCCACAAATAAGCCTAAAATTTCTGTTGTTAAGCGAGAGATTTGTTAAAGTGAGTTTTGCACCATTTTACAACCTTTCTGGCCACAGTCGCTAAGTGAATCGCTGCAGTCGTTAAGTCAGTCACACGGTCATTAAGTGAACCTGGATTTCCCCCATTGACTTAGCTGGTTAAAAGGTTGCAAAAAGGGATCATGTGACCCTGGGACATTGCAGTGGTCATAAATACGAACCAGACGACAGATGATCAAGAGTTGGAAGGGACCTGGTAGGTCATCTAGCCCAGCCCCCTGCCCAAGCAGGAGACCCTACCCCATTTCTGACAAACGGCAGTCCAAGACACAATAAAATCAAACAAACATTAGAAAAAACCTTACAGAAGACTCTGTAGAGTAGGAATTGTGTTTAGAATAATGTAGACATCACTAGAACGCGCCCAAAAATATGTACGAAGAATGGTAACGACGCAACTTTTATTTCAACGGAATTCGTAAACAGCGATGAACAGAAGATCGATTAAGACAGATAGATTAACAGAGTTGTAAAGGACCTTGTAGGTCATCTAGTCCAACTCCCCCCGCCCAAGCAGGAGACCCTACACCATCCCCAACAAATGGCAGTCCAATCTCCCCTTGAAAACCTCCAGGGATGAAGCTCCCACAACTTTCGAAGGCAACTTCTGTTCCAGGGGGTCCATTGAACTTGAAATGGTTCCAAATTTGGATCACGTGTCTGTAGGGATACTGCGGTGGTTGTTAAGTGTGAAAAATGGTCATCCATCCCTTTTTAATTCAGTTTGAATGGTCATTAAACGAACCAATGGAAGTCGAGAACAGTAACTGTCCCATTTTTTAATCAGTTTATTTTTTTCAATAGAAGCTTAAAGGTGCCTGCTCCCCCCACAATGATGTAGTTAAAGATAGTTGCTAGCAGTGGTGGGATTCAAATTTTTTTACTACAGGTTCGGTGGGTGTGGCTTGGTGGGCGTAGCAGGAGAAGGATACTGCAAAATCCGCATTCCCTCCCCACCCCACTAACCTGCTTTCCAGCTCTGTTCTCCTGTGCAGGGCAACCAAAGGAGACCCAGCCTTCAGCTGGGACTTGATGGGAGGCAGAGAAGAGATGGGGGTGAGCCAGTCAGAGGTGGGATTTACCGGTTCTCCAAACTACACAAAGTGGTTCTCTAGACCCGGTCAGAACCAGCTGAATGCCACTTCTGGTCACTAGCCTTCCGTAACACACAAGATTGAAATGCTATTTTTGTTTCGTTGTGCAAACACATGTGTTGTGCAAACCCACTCTGAACGTGATGTTGCACATGCAGTTGTTGATGAGCTCTCCCACGACTCTTGTGAGGCAAATGGGCAAGGATTCTTGGCATGTTGTGTCTGGATTAAATGGCTTCATGTTACTTACTGAATTGCTTTAATAGCTTGCTATGCGCCAGGTAAGCTCACAATGCCAGGTACACATTTTCCAAACGTCAGTCTCTCGAAAGGGACCAAGATGCAATGAACGATTTGTGGCCTAAACTAATTATAATAAAATTAATGGGATAGAGGCAATCCTGTGCTTTCAACTGTTCGGTTCATGGACATTTGAAGTTACAGCGGCGCTGAAAAAAAAGAGAGAATTATAATTGTTTTTGATGTTTGTGACTGTTGCAGCAGTCCCGTTGTCACGTGATTGAAATTCACAAGCCTTGGCAGCTGTAGGGGTCGCCTTTAACAACCATGGGAAGAAAGGTCGTAAAATGGGGCAAAACTCACTCTGAAATTGTCTCGCTTAGCAACGGAAATTTTGGGTGCAGTTGTTGTCGTAAGTCGAGGACTAATTGTATAAGAAAAGCATAACCACATGAAGTTTTCAAAGATGTCCTGTAGAGCTGTCGTTGGGGAGAAAGCCCTGAAGGAGCCATCACAGAACAGGCCCTGTCCTGAATATTCACCTACCCAGCAGTCCTTGGTCCAGATGGCAGTTGGAGGAGCCTGATATGAGTGCAAGAACTTTTTCTGAGCGTCAAACAAACCAGGACAGCTTTTGGTGTTTAAAACTAGCACCAAGATCAGCACCTTAAGTGTAGAAATGGCAAAGAACTGGAACATTTACCTATGCTTGCAACCCAGCTCAGCCCTGGGCCTGTGACTTGGCAATCTGCCAGACAGGAAGTGAAGTGAATCACCTGGGGAGGGGGCATGGCAGCAGGTAAACATCGGCTGCCTCTGGTCAAGGGAACAAACTAAGCTGGTTCTTCAGCCAGCGTAAGCAATTATTGCCTGGGGACTTTTTTCTAATGTCCTGCTTTTCAGAAACTCCAATTTTATTGCTGTCTAAGGTTGAAACTTACCGGTAATCCTCAACTTAACGACCGCACTGGAACCCAGAATTTCAGTCGTTAAGCAAGATGGTTATCAGGCAAGCTTGGCCCCATTTTACGACTTTTCTTGCCGCAGTTGCTCAGTGAAATTTTCAATGTCATTGTACGCATGTTGTGCATTGACAATAAAACGTTTGATTGATTGAATCACTTCGGTTGTTAAATGAATAACACTGTTGTTAAGTGAATCTGGCTTCTCCATTGACTTGGCTTGTTGGAAAGTTGCAAAAGGGGATCACATGACCCCCTCTGGGACGCTGCAACCATTGTAAATACGAACCCTTTGGCAAGCGCCCTAATTTTGATCACGTGACCAGCTGGAGACGCTGCCACAGTCGTAAGTGTGAAAAATGACTGTAAGTCACTTTTGTCAGTGCCGTCGTAACTCTGAATGGTCACTAAACTCGAGAACTAAGTGTAATTGTGTGTTTATATTTCTTTTCATTGGTTATTTGTTTTTCTTTCTGGACTCTGAAATTCCGTCCGGCTGTTTTTTGTTTCCTGAGTTATTTATAAAAATAATAAAGATGGGATAAACATAAATAAATTCTGATTATTTCAATTTAAGGCTGACCTGTTCCCACAACCACCTCCTGCACTTCCAGGGAGATCCCATATCCTGTCCACCTCTTTCTCTTTCCTGTTTTATTCATGGGTTTACCGCCGCCTTGCCAAACTGAATATTTTTCCCCCTTGCCTTATTTGCTTGCCTTATGCACCTAAATAGGTGTTTTTTTTAAAATGTGAAAATAAAGCTACTTTAACTCACTCCCATTACCATTTCCCTAGAAGGTAGTTTGCTGGGTGTATTTTCAGATCCACAAGGAAGGGCAGCCCTAAAAATGCCCTGGGGAGCATTTTTTGTGGATATGACCCTGAATTCATGCAAGTTTTCCCATTACGTCAAATGGAAATGTTGGAAACCTGACTGGGATCTGAATGAGACAGGCTCGGGGTTCGTTCACCTGTTTGAATGACAAGACTGTCCTGTTTTGGGTAGCATGTGAATCTGATAGGCTGGCATTTAATTTCATTCACTTTTTGCCGAATGTGGTTCCTGGCTCTACGAAAGACAACAGGCGAACAAGGGTAGCGTGTTCTGTTACCGGAGTGGTTCTCAATAGCCATAGCCCATAGACTTATATACCGCTTTATACTGCTTTATAGCCTCCTCTAAGCAGTTTACAGAGCCAGCCTCTTGCCCCCAACAATCTGGGTCCTCATTTTACCCACCTCGGAAAGATGGAAGGCTGAGTCAACCTTGAGCCGGTCAGGATCAAACTGCCGACAGTGGGCAGTGAGTTAGCCCACAATCCTGCATACTAACCACTGCGTACCATGGATGGATGGATGGATGGGATGGACAATAGCAATAGCACTTAATCTGGGTCCTCATTTTATTCACCTCGGAAGGATGGAAGGCTTTGTCAGGCTTGGCAACTTGAAGTTGGATGGACTTCAGCTTCCAGAATTCCCTAGCCAGCAATGGATTCTGGGAGTTGAAGTCCACCATCTTCAAGTTGCCAAGCTTGAAAAACATAGTGTGTTAGTGATTAACAGCAATCCTAAAAAAAAATATTGAATGATATTTTTGTTGATCCTACTCTGTTAGTAGCCAATTGCAGAATTGTAGAAGGGTTTTGAAATCAACTACATTCGATTTCATGTTCAAAAGTCTTGCATCTCTTGCCAATATGTAAGGATTAGGGGATTTATGGACGAGGATTGTGAACAGAATCTGTCTCTTTGTTTGTAGAATTGTTTTCTTTAGGATGGTTCTGAGATCCTTTGGTGAATGTCAGCTGTAGAGTTGTTTTTAAACTTTGCTCAGCAAAGTTTTATGTGACGGGTTCTCAGGATGCAAGGAATAATGATTAGGATGAGTTACTTCCTTATGTATAGCTTGAATTAGTCAGATCTACTTAAAAGACTATTTTGGCTTATATCAGACTTTTTCCATTGTGTGACTTCTGTTATTGACACGGAGTAAAAAAAAAAACACCAAGCCATGTCATTCTTTTTAATTCCAGAATAAATCACTGTAAAGAAATTAAAACCTGAATTGTGACTCAGATGTTATGAATAAATATCATAAAAGTGACAGACAAGAAGGTGTATGTCTACAGCATGCAAATCAGAACTATAGCTCCTTATTAATTACTTGATTCTCATGACTATGGAGTAGCCTTTGTTTGAAATTTTTTAAATAATGACATATGTATTAATAGGGCGTTGATTGTTCTTATGTTTGCTTTGTTTCTTGCACATCATTTGTTGCACACAAATTTTCAGGTGGTGCTATATCAACGTTAGTAGTTCCACAGCCTGCATGGCTGTTGGCTGTCCTGAGTGGGTGTTTACATTTTGTCCCAAATGTCTGAAAGGAAGTAATTTGGCAAATAAATCTGAATTTTAAGATACTTCTGTTCTGTTCCGTTCCGTTCCACTCCACTCCAAACATAATAACAGAGTTGGAAGAGACTTTGGAAGTCTTCTAATCTTCAAGCAGGCGACCCTATACAATTTCAGACAAATGATTTTTCAGTCTCTTCTTACAAACCTCTACTCTTCATTCCAGTATCCTATCCCATCCCATCCCATCCTACTCTAACTCTACTCCATTCCACTCCACTCCACCCTATTCTACCCTACTGTCTATTCTAGTTGCTTGATAGTGAGATTGGTGGGACATAACAATTCTAAGTCTAATTCTAATTATTTTAATTCTATTTTATTTTATTTTTTCCAGGTGTTGGTAAATACAGCCAGTTGCATTCTGATGCTGATTGCAAAGCTAATACAGACCATTGTTTTTGGTCCTCTCCGTGTTAGTGAAAGGCAGGTAAGGAATGTTGGTTTGGTATGACTATTAGGTTTATGATATTTGCAACGAGTGATGGGTGAATGATATTCATTAAATTCTTTCTTTTTAATGGGCATTTTCACATATTTTTTATTATCTGGGCCCATGAGAGCAAACATTTTAATTTTTAGGTGCAATTCCAAAAACCCACCAGAAAATTATTCAAGAACCACCACTCAGTATGTTTTATCTTTTTTAAAAAAAATCAATTTTCATTAAATGTTCAAAAGCAAAGCAGTATGTTTTACTTTTAGAGTAAATTTTAAATGAATTATGAATGACTATCCACCTGCACTTTAGTTAAATTCCCATCTACCAATTAATAACCCAATTATAGCTCGTCCTATTGCATAATGGTTCACAATGTGTAGTGTGACCTTAAAAAACAAGAATAACAACAACTATATGTGCAAATCTCTTTTTCAGCATCTCAAGGATAAATTTTGGAACTTTATCTTCTACAAGTTTATTTTTATTTTCGGGGTGTTAAATGTCCAGACCGTGGACGAAGTGGTCATGTGGTGCCTCTGGTTCTCTGGGCTTGTGTTCTTACATCTCATGGTCCAGCTTTGCAAGGACAGGTTTGAATATGTAAGTATATTTCTCCATGTATCTGGGCAATGGAGAGTGGATTTAATTGACCCCAGACCCTATCATCAATTTGTCCCTCAGGTCATTAAAGTTGGATATTTGGGGTGCAAGAGTCACTTTTATTTTGTGCATGAAATGGGCCACGATTTGGATGCCCTGCTAGAATAGGATAGAATAATAGAATGGAAACAATAGAATAAAACAATAGAGTAGAGTAGAGTAGAGTAGAGTAGAGTACAGTAGAATAGAATAGAATAGAATAGAATAGAATAGAATAGAATAGAATAGAATAGAATAGAATA